ATGGTAATGAGAATGTCCCATTAGACCACAGGCTAAACAGATGTAAAAGACCTTTTCTAAGTAGGAGAAGTGGGCTGCTAATGGTTAATCTGCACTAGGGCTGGGAGGTGTAAGTACATTGAAGACAAGGATGCCACACTCAGATGTTCTCAGCAGGGAAATGGACACTAGACAATGTGAATGAATACTCCAAAGTGAAGCTGCATTTGGCTGTGAGTGGAAACTCCTGAAAGGAACCTGTCTGCAGAGACTATTGGCCGATCAGAACTTCAGTGCTATGGAGAGACTGGAAAGCTGCAGGTCCAGAGGCTAATGACCTTCCCTTGGGCTAAGTTCTGGCCCTGCAGAACAGCTATATCTTGCCCTCCTCTGTGTAAAAACTAACATCTTGTGATAATAGATAAAAACCTTTTGACTTAGCAGGCAACTAGCTTTTACCAATCCAAAAGCATTCTGAGCCTATAGGAAAGCCTCCCCTGTCTCAGTGGAATTGCCTCTCTGAAGTACTCACCAATGTATCTGGTCTTTTGTTTGTTTCAAGACAGGGCTTCCCTATATGACAGTCCTGGCTGTCCTAGAACTCACTCTGTAGACCAAGCTGGTCTCAGCCTCCCAGAGTGCTGGGATTAAAGGCATACACCACTAAGCCCATCTCACTAATGGGTTTTAAATTTGCCTTAATTTGTGTCTTTCTCTGTTCTTTAAAACCATAAAAACTGTAAAGTTGCTTCCACGTTGGAACCTGGAATTTCAGGTAACCTAAGTCTGTGTTCCTGAGCAACTGTCACCCTACTGGCTCCAGATTAACCCATCTCTTCTTTCTCTTAAGATGAAATCTGTGGCTTTTGTGTCAACAACAAATAACTCCAACATATGCTGTTGCCACAATATATGTCTATTACAGGAAGAAATATCAGAGCAAGTGTGGAACCGAAGTCTAGAGTCCTCTAGAAATCCTGGAAACCCATAATAACCCTGCAATTTAGGGGGATATCCCCTCACTACAAACTAAGTTCCTCTATCTAATATTATACAGAAAAAGCCAGCATTGTAGCCTCTGGCCTCAGTATGTTGTCTACCTGATTGTTGTCACTATTACTATAGTTAAATTGAGAGCTATGTTCAAGTAGCAACTTCAAAATGACTAAGCCCCATAGGAGATTTTGCTCTCCTAGCAACTAGACACACCTGTCCATACCCTCTGATTTTCTGGTTCCCCTGAGGTTAAATCAACATTTTAAAAGGCTCTCATATCTATCTACTATCTTGGTGAGCAAATAATAATGCCTCAAGATAATGCTGAAGCCCTATGGTTTGTCAGACCTTCTTGGGGAGGAACAAATACACAGCTTTTGAACAAATGCTCTTTGCCAGAGGTCTAGCTGACTAAGACTTGTGATTTGCAAAGCTCCTGGTCCATACAGTATACAGTATCCCTATAGTCATTGCCCTTCAGTGAAAGATAGTGGGATGGTGACAACCACTGGTCCTGGTCTCCTGGTCTCCACAGTCATGTGATCACCCTCCTGGAGTTTGATTGGGATTGGGTGACCCATTACTGATGATGAGTGTACAGAAGAGATGGTTGACTTTCTAAGATTATACTATAAACCCCTTTCCCTCTTTCTTCCTCCTTTTTTTTTTTTTTTTACTGCCTGCCTATTTGTTGTTGTTTCTTTTATGAATGAGAACTCCTAAGAAGAATCTGTGTCTACAAATACTGATTAAACTATAGCATCTGAGGCCTGTAGTGAAGATCCCGCCATCCTTCAGGAACCCGCCTCCCAGATGTTTCTACCAAGGTATGTTAGAAATGCTGTGATTTATAACTTTCTTTGTTCTGTTACCATAAATAAAATGTCATGAACCTGTTTCCACACTGGAACCTGGAATCTGGGGTAACCTAGCCCCATACTCTCAGGCCATGGTCACCCATAGTTTGGTTCCAGGATAAACTAGTTCTTATTCCCTTGGAATGGAGAGGTGTGTTTTTTATTTTGTTTGTTTTTTGAGACAGGGTTTCTCTATGTAGCTTTGGAGCCTGTTCTGGAACTAGCTCTGTAGACCAGGCTGGCCTTGAACTCACAGATACAGGCCTACCTTTGCCTCCTGAGTGCTAGGATTAAAGGTGTGCACTACCACTGCTTGCTGAGAGGTGTTTTTGCATCCATAGTTTCCTATCATTTGGCTCCTCCCTTCCTTCCTCTTCTCCTCTTTCTCCCCCTTCTTTCTCCTTTCTCTCCCTCCTCCTCACCGTTCCCCTTCCTCTCTCTTTCCTTTCCCTCCTCTTTTTTCTTTTCACTGGGATGTAAGAAGACTATATGTGAGTGGCTTTTTTTTTCTTTCCTTTTTTTTAGCTAATTTATTTTTTACATTCCAATCCCAGTTCTCCCTCCCTCCTCTCTTCCTGCCCTGCTCTCCCCCACTTCTCCCCCACCCCCATCTGCTCCACCTACTAAGTCTGTCCCATCATCTCATTGAGGCAGGACCAAGGCACCCCCCCACACACACATATACACCCTTGTTTCAAGGCTAAGCAAGGTATCTCCCCAATTTAGGATGGGCTCCACTAAGTTAGTTTGTGCATAAGTGTTAGATCTTGGACCCACTACCAATGGCCTCATTTATTGTCCCAGCTCTACCACTGCCACCTATATATATTAAGGGAGTCTAGTTTGGTCTTATGCAGGTTCCTCATTTGTTAGACTTGAGTCAGTGATCTCTCACTAGCTCTGGTCATCTGATTCTATGGGTTTCCCCATCATGATCTTGACTCCTTTGTTCATATTATCACTCCTCCCTCACTTCAATTGTACTCCAGGAGCTTGGCCCAATGGTTAGTTGTGGATTTCTACATCTGCTTCCATCTGTTTCTGGAAGAGGGTTCTAGCTTCTCTGGGGTTGTGGATTGTAGGCTGGGTATCTTGTGCTTTATGTCTGATAATTTACTTATGAGTGAGTACATACTATTTCTGTCTTTCTGGCTCTAGATTACCTCACTCAGGATGGTTTTTTTCTAGTTCTGTCCACTTGCCTGCAAATTTTAGGATGTCATTGTTTCTTAGCATTATTACTCCATTGTGCAAAAATACCACATATTCTTTCTCCATTCTTTATCTAGATAGAGGGGCATCTAGGTTGTTTCCACAAATGTGAGTGGTTTTCTTTAAATAATAATCATAATTGTCTTCAAACTCTGGGTTTTAATCTAGATAGTTCTATGGGATAGTTCTAGGCTTACTAAGAGAGCTCTTGTTTATTCCATTTATGCCTTGAACTCACCCTACTTGACTTTACTTTCCACTTTTGAATAGTCTAAGACACGGGAGGAATAGCATTTTTGCTGCTGTTGTTTTTAATCCCTGCTTCTCACATCCTTTTTCTTTGTTGTTTACACACCTGGCAGTGCTTTCCTATTACTGGAAGGAAATGAATGATTCAGGCTGTTCCTATCCAAAAGGCTGAAATGGTTGGCACCCCAGCAGCTTTGCTGGGTGCCATTCCAGATTTCATGTCCTTTGGGTCAGTGTTACCTGACACTTTTGGGGGGGACATGAACAAACACCTACTCTCCCCAGACAAGGGACTAACAACAGACCAATGCAAGGATGTCACCAAAATCTAACTTGGTGAACTGAGTTTTATTGGGGTTACTAATAGGAATATGGGTGTCAAGTTAATTACAGGAGTAGAAATGACACAAAGACAGTCATATCACAAAAAAAAACAAGAAACGAAAACAAAACAAAACAAAAAACATACAAACAAAAACTCCACCCCAGCTGGGGTGACCATTCACGGAAATTGGAAGCCCAGAGCTCATGGCACAACTTGAAGGCAGCTTAGTTGGTTGGGGCCATTCAGTTGGCCTCTTCTAGGTCTCTCACCTTGTTTGAGAATGTCTTTCAGCTCTCCTTACAGCATCTATACAGTTCAGAATGGAGTGGCCTAATGTGTCTGGTCAGGGTTAAGAACCATGTGAAGCTTTGAGTTTATTTCCTGAGCCCAAGAGCTTGTCTGCACAATGGAATGTTCACCTCCCCTTAGAACACCCCCAGTTTCACGTCCCTTCTCGTATCCTGTGTCGATTATCCAGATGTTATTGATTGATCACTTGGAGACTCCCTCCAAAACACAAGGTTTTTGTCTCAGAGAAAACTGCTACACAGCACTCAGCACACTTAGGAAGCCCACAAAGACCTCCGAGTACAATCCATGCAGGTCTCTGGTACAATACCACTCTTCACTGGCTGAGACAGATCATGCATAACTAAGGTGATTCATCCACAGTCACACAAGCAGCTTTGTCCCCAGTGAAGTCACCCTGGAAGTGTTCCCTCATCCCACCAGCTAAGCATTTCTTAAGAGTTTTCATGACTCTGTACACACCTGGCCTGAATTATACCTTTAAAAAACATTTTTACTTGTGTGTCTTTATGTGCACTGGAAGCATGTAGGAGCCCAAGGAGGACAGAAGAGGGTGACAGGTCTCCTGAAACTGGAGTTCCAGACAGTCGTGAGTCACTGTGTGGGTGCTGGGAGCCATACCCTGGTCCTCTGAAAGAGCAACAAGTCTCTTAACTACTAAGCCCCCTCCAGCCCCCAACCTAATTTCTTTAAGACTGAGTCACATAGATTCACCCATTTCCAGGACACCATTAGTCTAATGGCCCATCTACAAACTTCCCACACTTTGATCTCACCTCTTCTCAGGGTACATACTAACCACACTCGGATGAACACATTTTATAACCTTCACGTAAGCTTCCCATCAGGTCCAGAGTGGCATGTGATACAACTCCACATACATTCATGATTATAGTAATTTCTAAAAGCCAGTAGCAGAGCGATACATCCTCAAAATGATAAAGACTGTAAGGTGGGCATTCACAGCAAATGAGGTGGCATGGAGGAAAAGAAAAAAGAATGAGAAAGAGAGGGGGGAGGGAGGGGGAAGGACGGAGGGAGGGATGGGAGAGACAGAGAGACAGATTCCTGAAATGCTACTCGAGGCCCGCCCCCATCCCACGTGCTCCTGCATCCTTAGGGTCCACGTGGACCACACGCCCACGCTCGGGTGCTGTTTACCACAACCATCTCAGGAGCTGAATACTTACCACTTCCTAGTCACGGCTTTCCCATCTACTCATAAAGAGAAAACACCTCTCTCGAGGCTCGGGAGCTACGGGCCCGAGTGAGGGCGCGAGGCATCATCCCTGGCCATGGTGCCAGGGAAGTTGGGTGTGCCCCAGGAGACCTCACGGTGAGTGTTTCTCCCTGTCCTCCTTGCGACCATCCCGGTACGGCTTTCCTCTTTGACTTCTCCAGGTTTTCCAGGATTTCCCACCTTTTTCTTTGAAGTAGATACTATTGTTGAGAACCGGAAGTGAAAAAAACACTGTGGATAGGAGGTGTGGAACTGCCTTCTACTTTCTTAGCCTTAGTTCAGCTGGTTGTAAATTGTAAGAACGACAAAAAGGAAAGAACGAGCCAGCGAAAGGCAGTCAAAACTGTGAAGTATCCTCACTTGTGTCTTGCCGTGTTACCTCTTACAGTCTTAGTAACTGTAGCAGAACTCATATCAAATTCAGATGCTAGATTCAACTGCTGTTGGTTGAGCAAGCACTCAGTGTGGCTGGTATCTATTTCTGTTCTCTTGACTTTGCTCAAAAAAAAAAAAAAAAAAAAGGCCAAGATACAATAATTTCTTGGGAAAGGAGAAGTTTCTTTCTTTTCTTTCTTCTTTTTTTTCTTTCTTCTTTTTTCTTTTTTCTTTTTTCTTTCTTTCTTTTTTTTTTTTTTTTTGAGACAGGGTTTCTCTGTGTAGCTTTGGAAAGGGGAAGTTTCTGCAGAGAAAATATTAATGGCTTCTGTCCTAATCTGTTTTGTGAACTAGTTTCAGTTCAGTTCATTTACAGGGGTCATCCCTATGCTGAGGATCCTACTTCCACATCTTACTGCTCTGGGGTCTGACATTGTTATCTAGGCTCAGGCTAAAAGCATGGCAAGGGAGCACTCCCCCTCCTCCCTAGCCTTTTGTGGAGAGTGACCACCCTCTCTCTTATTCCTCAGGGGTTTCTGCTCCTGGCTCATAGTAATCTATGCTATCAGACAACTCCATTCTTGTCTTTTGGAAACCTTGTGGGTTGTGAGTTGATTTGAATCTGAGCAAACTTTCTGCCTGCTTTGTAGGCCACATCTGCCAGTCCTGGGGACAGTCAGTCATCGAGCATTGCCAGTCCTGGGGACAATCAGGCATCGAGCATTGCCAGTCCTGGGGACAATCAGGCATCGAGCATTGCCAGTCCTGGGGACAATCAGGCATCGAGCATTGCCAGTCCTGGGGACAATCAGGCATCGAGCATTGCCAGTCCTGGGGACAGTCAGGCATTGAGCAGTGGAACGAGCTCCATTTCACAGCCACGTAAGTGCAGCTGGGTCTGTCTCCCTGACCTGCATCAGCCAGAGCAGAGCAGAGAGACCCACCAAGCCTTAAGACACCAGACCCCGCTGACCACTCTATTCCCTTCTCCCCAAGGGTCCTCCTCACATTTTCATTGTGGACTCTGAGCTTTCTGGTTGCGCTTGGGACACAGGGATCCAGATGGAGAAGCCACTTTTCTGATTCTTTCTGCTCAACAAATAGTTTTGTGTGTATTATCTGTGTGTGAGGCTGGAGGCATTTGATTCCCCTGAAGTAATTGTGAGCCACCTGATATGGGTTCTAGGAATCAAACCCCAGTCCTTCATAAAAAGGAAGTGCTCTTAGCCACTGGTAGTTTGAAATTATAAGACTAAGTTTAAGTCTAAACATCGCTTGAAATCTACATCAGTGAGATGATCAATTAAAATTAGTGCAATATCTGAAAATTGAATGAACTTTGTTTTTTGTTTGTTTTGTTTTTTGTTTTGTTTTGTTTTGGCTTTGGAGGCTGTCCAGGAATAATGTAGACCAGGCTGGTCTTGAACTCACAGAGATCTGCCTACCTCTCTGCTGGGACTAAAGGCATGTGCCACTACCGCCCGGCATTAAATGAACTTTCAAAAATTCTGTTTTAAATCTTCCTGAGAGACTCCATGTCCATGGAGAAGGGTCTGGATGGAAGTTTGGAGCAGGTGGAAAGAACATTTGGCAACATTGCATACAGTGACTATATCACAGGACAGATAAACTCAGAGCCCAGAGGTTCAGCACACCGCTATACTTGCTATTTTGCTATAAAATCTTGGATTTTGATGAATTAAAGTTACCTTCCAAGTGCTGAAGACATTTAAAAGGCTACTATCCTCTGTACTCACTTTAACGAGTCACTCAGGTGGAGACATTTACTTCAGTGTTCTGTGATCTAGTGTAAACGGTAGAAGCTGAGGTGGACCTGTCTTCTCAAGTGATAATCTAGCATGATTGTTGCTGGCTATGCCTAGATGTGTCCCCGCCCCCAAACTGGGAAAAGTGAGAGATCCTCCTAAATCTCTTTAGAGAAGAGAGGGGCTTGTCACTTGTTAGCAGGTGGGACTGGGACAGGGAGGGAGCAGCTGTCTCCTGAGCCAAGAAGAGGAAGTCTATGGTATTGTAAAAGCTAACACTGGTATTTCTAGTTGAACATTTCATACTTTCTCTAATTTTCAGTGTTGAGGCTAAAGTCTTCTGTATAGTCAGGGATGTGTAAGCAGTACAGGCACATCCTGTGAAAACCTGTTTTGACTGACAGTGTGGTTTTGAGGTACAGCATGCACACAGTCCTCCATACTATGTTACTTCTTGTTCCAGATGATGACGGTGGACGCACCTTCACGGAAAGAGGCAAAGTCAGACGGGACGTCATAGATTTGAGTGTCTGTACCAGGGAGAAGTTGGCACATGTGAAAGATTGTAAAGCAGGTAGACAGTCCTTCTTGTTACTTTTTAGAGATTACCAAGTCTTGCCATGGAATTTAAATTTCTAGTTGTAAAATGGATGAGTTGGTTAATCACCCAAGACCTACTACTGACTGAGCGTCTGCTGTTTAAGCTAAGCGTTGGAAACACAGAACTGTTCCTTAAACTGTGTTCCACTTTTGAAAGATATCTGCCTCTCACTTGGGGAAGACATTGGAAAGATGTGTCTTCTCTTTCCAACCCTTATCTTATGTGGAGAACCAGCCTGTGGGAATTTCATTGTAGAAAGGAGACCTCAGCCAATGGGGAATACTTCTTCATTTAGACTCCAGGCTCCTGAAATTGCTTACACAGGTGTGAGTCTTCTGAGGAGTGTAGTCTGTGGTTTTCTTTGGATTTGCAGGAAGCTTTGTGGCTCCCTTCTCACTAATGGGAATTTCTGGTTTGTTTGGTTATTTTTTAAAAGCAGCATAATAAGAAACGGATGTTATTATCTAGCACGTAGCTGTACAGCTGAAGTAGCATTTCATAGAAAGTACTCACCTCCCTGCATACAGGTGTTCTGGGGCCACTCTGTTGTGCTTGGGCTGGAGAGAGGGCTGGTGATACTATGCCGGGTCATAGGCAGACACACACACACACACACACACACACACACACACACACACACACACAGGCCAGCCGAGGGGAAAGGGCTGGTGTGAGAGCACACACACACTAGCAGAGGATTGACATTCAGATCTCACTGCTCATGCCAGACAGCTCACAAACCCCTGGGGCGCCAGCTGGAAGGAGTTGCCCAGCCTTCTAGCCCCCATGGACACCAGCACACACGTGCATGTAGGTGAGCACACAAATGGCAAGTCTTTTCAGCGCCTCCCACAGTGAAGCACACTGACTTCTGTATCTTCCCAACCTCAGCACTGATGGTGCTTGCTACAGTCTGAAAACGCTGACGTAGATGATCTCCTAAGGTTCTGGCAGTCTAGATTTACTTTTCTCTGTCCTTGTGATGACAGGCTGATGTGTTGCTATTCACTAGGAATCTGGAAGAACAAAATTTTTTCTTAAGCAAACATGGCATAATTATCCCTTGCCTCTGACAGACACTCGTATGATAGGCCCAGGCCAAGGGAGCACTAAAGTATATAAGTATATAAGTACCATTTATTCCTCATTTGCATTTCTGCTTTCTCCGTGAAAAAAGCAAAATAGTGTATGTGTGGTACAAATGTACCAAAGATACAAATGTAGTCATTTTCTGTGAAGACAAGTGAGAAGTCACTGGTACCCTCTAGAATTCGTTGTGGGAAGGCGCTTGTGACAGCCTCTGTCCAGCCAGCTCTGCTCTGGCCCCCTCTGATTCTGTCCTGCAGACATTTAAGCTTCAAGCAAAGATGTATTAGGTGAAGGAATTCCAGTAAGCACACATGGACTCCATGTGCCTGTACAGTGGAAGCCCAAGTCATGCTGCTCTGTACAGGAGTTCCTGTTTCTGTTTCACAGCCTCCCACTACCTCTTTGGGGGACTTACACAGTGTTCTAACTACTGATGGAACTTCGTCAGAATCTCCTAAATCCTGGTTCTGATTACCTCAATTTCTTAGAGGTTGGGAATTGTATCATTCATAGTGAGAATGGGATCATTTTTGTTTTTGTTGTGTTTGTGATCTCAGAATAGAATCTTGAGACTGTCCGATAACTGTTCTGGGTCACAGAGACTCATCTGGAAGATGTCTAGGGAGGGATCCAGGCAACTGCCTTCAGATGCTTGGAAAGTCACATCTGTTCCTCTGTTTTTGGAGGCTCACTGTGCACTTGAGCTCACAGTAACTCCCAGGGGAGTTGCCAGATTAAACGTGCAGGAGTTTATCCCACACCACTGATGAAAAGCCCCTGCTTTATAGCAACCATGGTCCATGTTCAATTTTCAAAATATGATTAATAGTAACATGGTGTGCTATTCTGGTGAAAGGCATCTTTTCTCTTCTCCAGGTTCTAGTGGAATACCTCTGCAGCTGGTTACGAATCTCTTTAGTTTAGATTTGCCCCAGGATTGGCAGCTGTACCAGTACCATGTCACATATAGCCCGGATTTAGCCTCTAGAAGGCTGAGGATTGCATTGCTTTATAGTCACAGCAAACTCTTGGACAAGGCAAAAGCATTTGATGGCACCATTCTTTTCCTCTCAGAAAAGCTGGATCTAAAGGTACAGTGTGGTCATTGTTTCACTCTGTGTGTGTGTGTGTGTGTGTGTGTGTGTGTGTGTGTGTGTGTGTGTACACATGTGGACATATCTGCTTATTATGTATGTGTAGAGAAGATCATTGATTTTCTTGATAGTTGGAAGGAGTGTTCCTATGCTTCTTCCTCATCTATCCCTGGTTCCTTGCTTGAGAGCTCACAGGTTTCCTAAGATGTCATCAGCCATTGTTGTCATACATGAACCTGATGCTCCATCATGCTAAGCATTCAAGAGCCGCAAACTGTTAAGATAGATGAACTTGGAAACTTCCCTGAGCTGGGGACCTCCAGAATCACCATTTCCATGGCTCTAAGGCTATCCGCATCTCCACACTCTCTTGCCCTTGTGCAGGGTGCCTGAGTGGCCAGATAATTTCATGTCCACTTCTGAATGTAGAACCATCCTTTCTTCATAATTCACTAAGTCATAGGAAACATGAGCTACTGTTGTCAATCTAAGAGTGTTTGCAAAATGAGACCATTGAAGTTGTTAAGTGTTTGATCTTCCTTTACCCATTTTTTTTTCAGATTTTCAACATTACCAGTCCTCAAAGAGATAGCAGTAGGCGTGGGTCTCTCAATAGTCTGTTTTTAAAGCAAGATTAGAATTACTATGAGAAAAAAGAACCAGGCTTTAAAACATTACAGTAGATCTTTGATGCTTCCAGGAGAAAGTTCAGTCAGTGAGCTCAACGTTTTTAAGCACTATGGTGCCAACAGCACAGGTTAACATTGATAGGTCATAAGTAAGTCTTTGTGATTTTACACAAGAAATGAATTTCTGAGCATTCCTGTATCCTTTTCAAGACCTTGGGATGGATAATACCAAGTGGTGAGATCTGGTGGCTCAGAACATCAGAATCCGCATTTAGAAACTTTTTTCTCCCCCTTCAAATCCTTTGTCCAGTGACACATGGATAGCATGCATCCTGTCTCTTATCCTTGTGTCATGTGTTTTCAGTGCCTTGGTAGGATTAAGATCAGCTTGTCCTTAGAGTCATCTTTATACCTTCAGTGGCGTTAGAGGTCACTTGTGTGTCAATGAATGGTCCTGTTTACCCCAGTTGTTTCTAGCGAAGCAGGAGAAATTCTGTTCTGCACATGCCAGGAATAGGTGAGCACTGCTCATCTCAATTCAGAACTGGCATGTCATGTGTGTCAAACACATTTTTTTGTGCTGGGGACAGTCAGTAAGGAGGCAGGTGACAAGGTAGGCTGTAAGGCAGCATGTGGCTCATCAGGGCTGTTGTCCTCATTTCCAGATTAGGTGATACTGGGTGCAGGCAGAAGTTGTCATGTCCCTTATTTGGTGTATGTCCTGTCACTCTGTTATAGTGAGCATCCTTACAGTGACACTGCTCTGCTCACTCTTTATTGTACTCAGGCATAATCCTCCACCCACCACCACCCCCAGTCTCCATCTTTCTAGGGTGTTGAATAGGGTTTGAAAAGTCCTGTTGTACTACTTTCCATTCCTCTCCATACTTCTGGAAGCTGCCTTCCAGCTGCCTTATGGCCTTCCAGCATGATTCTCTACTCCATCTGTCTGCTGAGAACTTCATTCACTCACATCTATTTGCCACCTTTGTGTAAGACTTACAGAGTTGACGGTGTACTTAGTAAAGTGTTAGCACCATGAAGGAAATAAAGATAAATACTACAGGGGTCTTAAATAAAAGGTTTCCGGCTTAACATCAGAGTTACAAATGAACACAGTGAGGCAGAATGGCAATAATCAGTATTTTTATTATGCTAACATTTGTTGAGCACTTGGTAAGTGTAGGTAGAGTTCTGTGCTTGGTAGCTCTTCAGATCAGCACTGCAGGGCAGGACTATCCTTTATGCTGCTGGTGTATCTGTCAGACTACACTTGTTGACCAGGTGCCCTGCCAGGCTCTTTCTTACTCTCACCATGCATTTAACCCTCTCATCACCTCTGGAGCTCAAAGAGCTTGAGGGTCTCACCCCAAAGTTAGAACCTAGAGCATGGTGAAAAGCAGGACACCTGGGAGAGTTATGATTAGTGTCTAAGGAAGGGTCTCAGGATGAGAGAAGTGGACAGTGAGGAAGGGCCAAGGCTGAGTGATAGAAGGGAGAGGGGCCTATTTGAGACACTTGGGTCTTTGAGGTTTAACTAGCCAGGTGTGGAAGTGGCCCTGAAGGTAGGGAGAACTTGACTTTGTCTTTTCTGGACCCCCCCCCCCCCCCCCCCCCCGTCACATCCTATTGAAGTTTCCTGAAAGGGTGGGAAGGCATAGCCTGGGCAGTGTGTCAAGAGGACTGGAATAAAAACCCAAAGTGTTGCTCCGTGTTTGACCTTTGTGAGCGCCTGTGTTCTGCATGAAGATAAGATCCCAGAGTGCCCTGTTTATCTTCACAGTCCTGGAAGTCCAGCTGGACCCACTCCCACATTAGAGATAGTGGGGAAGCTTCAAGGATGAAGCGGCTTCCTCCAGGCCACGCGGTACACTGTAAGAGGCAGCCTCCCTAGTCTGTCTAAGCATGTGCCGTGGTAGTATCAGAACAGCGGAAATCACTTAGAGACAGACACTGCTGTGTGGATGCACTGAGACTTGTGATTGCTGAGGTGGCGAGTGGAAGGGGAGAAGAAATGTGTACTGGGAGGCCTGCAGCCTGGAAGGGCAGGTCCTGGGACTGATGGAGGAAGTACAGAAGCAGTTGGTGCTTGGTAAGGGAGGGTCAAGGACCCGGAGGAAGTGTTTGATCTTGGGAAGCTGTTGAGAAATACAGTTTCCAAGACTGCCTGTTGCCACCTCCCTGCAGCTCTTCACCCACAGCCATTGTTGTCCACATCCTTCGTCTGCAGTCCCCAGGGGGCTGGGAGCAGGATGTCTCTCCTGCTCCTGTGGATTGGATTTACCTTGACCTCCTGAGGTCTCTGTAACTGTTGCCAATTCTGTAGGAGTTGTCTGAGACTAGGAGTCTCCCCAGGTTACACCCCACCCTCCCCACTCCCCTCTCTACCTCCCGACTCCCCTCAACCTGGTGTGGAGGGACAGGTTTCTCTTTGCAACTAAGTAGTCCAGTTCCTGTTACAAAAACTGTCACTAACTAGAAGGTGGGTGAGAATATGCAGACGCCTGCTAATGAGCTGACTTCTAATTCATTAACCTTTGAAAAACCCCGGATCATTGACATTTATTGACTGATTTGAGAATGTTTCTATTTTAAAATACTGTATTGAGCCTTGCAAAGTTTAGAAGTTTGGGTTTTGTTTTTGTTTGTTTTTGTTGTGTGTGTGTGTGTGTGTGTGTGTGTGTGTGTGTGTGTGTGTTTTCCTCAGTGCAGAAGAGGACATCAGAGCCTGTGGAACTGGAGTTCTAGGTAGCTGTGGGCAGTCCAGTGTGGATGCTAAGAACCAAACTCTGGTCCTCTACAAGAACAAGATGCTGCCATCTCTCCAGCCCTTGGTGGCTTAGGGTTTTATTAGTTGGGGAGTTGATGCAGAGCCTATCCTTGTGGTCCTTATGTAGCTAAAACAGTTTCATTTTAGGCTAGCACCAAGGCTTTCAGCAGCCCTTTGCAAGCTTTTATTAATGGAATAAAATTTCCCATCCTAGCACCCACATTTTCTCTGCTCCCTCTCTTTCTCTTCCTCCTGTCTGGCTGTTTTCCTTTAAGGGTTTCCTCTCCTGTTTTGTGAATAAACCTTTTGAGGAGTATCTCAGGAATTCATGAACTTGAAATGGGCCAGGCAGTCTGCTGCCTCCTAAAAATATGTACATTTATTCTTTATATGTACATACATGGGACTTTCTTGAGGGAATGTCTTTATCAGAGTTTTAAAGTAATTTGATCCCCAGATGTGGATGGGATTATTCCACATACCAACACCTGAAGCTCTGTTGTTGTTCACATATGTGCGACTGCGTTATAGCTTCTGTGTTCCGAACACTTGAAGGTAAGCTGTGCCGTGTACCTACCTCTTTTTCCCAGGTCACAGAACTGACAAGTGAAACTCAAAGAGGTGAGACCGTCACGATCACTCTCACTCTAACGACCCAGCTGTCCTCAAGCTCCCCAGTGTGCATTCAGTTCTTCAGTGTCATCTTCAGAAAGTAAGCTGCTTGACCTTTCGGCGTACAGCCTGGGTGTCGAGGTGATCCGCAGGGTACTGGGTGGGTGACGTGCCAGCAGCAACTCTAGGATGACTTTCACTGATGTTGATGTGCTGTGGCGGTAAGATGGGACATGATCCATCTGTGTCCCAAATCCTCATTATTCAGCCCTATCCAAAAGTTAGGCCATGTTGCTTTAAAAAGCTTTTCCTTCATTTCCTTACACTACCCCATTCCAACCCCAGACTCAAGTGAACAGAGTAGGAATTGGCCAGATGATGGATTTGTTTCCCCACTAGCTGGCTGGTTTAGGGTATACAAGGCTGTCACTAGCTGTGTTCTGCCCTGGGTCCATCCCAACCCCCACATCTGTCCCCCGGAAGGGGACTGGTTGTATGCAAGCTTTTGACATCTTTAGAATGGACTGAGGGTTACCTTGAGGATGAAGGGATTTGACCAATGCAGAATCCCTGGGCCCTCTCTACACTTAGTAAAAGCAGATTTTCCATTGGGCCTGGAGATGAAAAAAGAAAACTGAGCAAGCCTAATGACAAGTGAACACTCTCAAGCAAGTGAACAGGTTCCACACAGCAGTGTGTGTGTGTATGTGTTATGTGTGTGTGTGTATCAGATTCCACTCAGCACTTCGTGTGTCAGGTTCCACTCAACACTGTGTTAGGTTCCACACAGTGTGTGTGTGTGTGTGTGTGTTATGTGTGTGTGTGTATCAGATTCCACTCAGCACTTCGTGTGTCAGGTTCCACTCAACACTGTG